TTCGCTCATCTCCTGACCATCAAACAACAATCGCAGGAGACGCTCCGAGCCTTCCTCGATCGCTGGACGAGGGAGGCAGAAGAGTGCGAAGGAGCCGATGAACGCACCTTCCTGGCCTTCCTCCGCGGAGCACTTCGGCCGAGCCACTTCGCCCGAAGTATGTTCACGGAGCCCCCGCGGTCATACCTCGCGGCGCTCTGACGCGGAGACAGGCACGCTGACGCCGACGAGCTCCTGAGCCAGAAGAAGGGTGGGGAGAAGCAACAAAAGAAGGACCCCTCGTCCAACCCCCACCATGCGCCAGCCAACAAGGGACAGAACCAGCAGAAGAAGGCACACCAGGAGCCAGGCGGACAACGAAGAGAGGATCGTTCATGGCGTCCAAAGTTGGAGGCACAACGCATCCCCCTCACCCACCCGATGAGCATCGTCCTTGACCACGCTGAGGCGCAGGGCCTCATCGTGAAGGACCCCAGGTCAGAGGAGGAGATATTTGCGGTCCACAAAGGAGGGACATATTGCAAGTACCACCGCCAGACATCCCACAAGACGGATGATTGCACCACCCTGAAGTGGCACATCGACGGCCTCGTCCGACAGGGGGAACTTTCCCAATTTGTCAAGGGTGCCCCCAAGAGTAACACTTGGGTTAACCCTGGCAAAAGGGGGGAAGGATCCTCCGGGAAAAAAGAGGGAGATAGGCGCCCTCAGTGAAGATGAGGACGAGGAAGAGCCCCGCCAGAAGAAGCATCACATTCACATCATCGTCGGCGGGAACACAGGGGGGGACTCGGCTACCCAACGGAAAAAATGGGCTCAGTCCCTATACGTGGGTGAGGTGTCCCACGCCCCCCCTCAGCCGAAGCGACGGCACGTGGAGGCCATCACCTTCACCGACAAGGACCTCCCCTTCGGCCCCTTGCCCCACAGAGACGCCCTCGTCGTCAAATGTGAGATCGGCGACAACATCATCCACCGCAACTACATCGACACTGGCAGCTCCGTCAATGTAATGTACGTTGATACCTTCAGACAACTAAAACTGAAGAAGACCGAACTCAGGCCGATACGGACTCCGTTATCCGGCTTCACCGGGGACTCTATCGACGTCGAGGGCACGATAGTGCTTCCCGTTGTGGTCGGTGACAGTACCTATCAGGCGAAGATTGACATGGAGTTCGTGGTCGTCAACCTGGACAGCGCCCACAACATGATCTGGGGCCGACCGGCCTTGGAGGACCTTGAGGCCATCATCTCTATGAAACATCTATGCCTCAAGTTTCCCACCAAGGACGGCGTCGGCTACGCCAGAGGAAATCAGAAGATAGCCAGGGCTTGCTACCTCAAGCTCACAAGAAAGATTAATGAGGCCGAGGAGCGGATAGACACTATCACCACCGCCTCGGCCGAAGAAGACACACCAAAGGCCGAACCGGTCGGGGACGTGGAAGAGGTTCCGTTGGACGTCTCTCGGCCGGAACGCGTGCTGAAGATAGGGACACAGCTCCCCCAACAAATCTGAATGAACATCCTCTCCGTCCTAAGAGCGTACGCCATCGTCTTCACATGGGGACCAGAGGACATGCCGGGCATCAGCCCAAAAGTGATCACACACCGGCTATCAGTCGATCCCGCCTCCTCCCCCATCAAGCAGAAGAAGCGCTACCTCTCAGCCGACAGGAGAGAATTCGTCAAGGCCGAGGTGGCCATGCTGCTCTCCATCAAACACGTCAGAGAGGTGAAGTACCCCACGTGGTTGGCGAACGTCGTCCTCGCCCCAAAGCCGCCTACGTTCAGAATGTGTGTTGATTACACTGACCTGAACAAGGCGTGTCCAATGGACCCATTCCCTCTCCCCAACATTGATCAGTTGGTGGACGAGACGGCAGGGTGCGAGTTGATGTCGTTCCTTGACGCGTTCAGAGGGTACCACCAGATATCCATGCATGAAGATGACGCGGAGAAGACCGCTTTTATGACCCCGGAGGGAATCTTTTGCTACCTCGTCATGGCCTTTGGGCTCAAAAATTCCGGCGCCACTTATACAAGAATGGTAGCCCGGGTTTTTAGAGCAGTCTTGGGCCGTACGATGAAGCAGTACAAGGAGGCCGTTGCGGAACTGCTCAAGGCGTTCGATACCTACGAGATCACTCAGATCCCAAGGGCGGAGAACACCGAGGCCGACATACTCTCCAAACTCAGCTCCGACACCCCTGAGCACATCTCCAAGATAGCTAAGGTGGAGGAGTTGAGCATGTCAAGCATTCACGCCAGCCCTATACTCTCCATACAACACCAGCCGGAGGATTGGATCACTGACATCGCAACCTACATCACCTCCGGCACATTACCCGAAGACGAGGAGAGGGCCAAACTCGCCAAACTCAGGGCGCCAAGCTATGTCATTGAGGGTGACAAGCTCTAGAAGAGATCATACAATGGCACCCTCCTCCGGTGCCTCCACCAGAATGAGGCCGAAGTGGCCATGGAAGAAGTCCATTGCGGCGTATGCTCATCACATCAGGGGCCCTTCAGCATGTCACGCCGCCTCGTCGTCCAAGGCTACTTTTGGCCGACGATGGCACGCGATTGTGCTGAAGTCGCCCGCAAATGCAGCGCATGCCAACACTATCAAAGGGCACCTGGCCGACCGGCCGTCAACTACGCCCCGGTCAGCACTTCCATTCCATTTTCCAGATGGGGCATCGACCTCGTCGGCCCGCTACCTAGAGCTGCAGGCAACAACAGATACATCATCGTCGCCATCGACTACTTCACCAAATGGGTCGAGGCCGAGCCACTAGCGAGCATCACCGGGGCGCGGTGTCGAAAGTTTGTTTACAAGAACATCCTCACCCGCTTCGGTGTGCCTCAGGAGATCATTTCAGACAACGGCACCGAATTTGAGGCCGAACCGTTCCAAAGCCTCCTCCAAGAATGGGGTATCAAGCACCGTTTCTCCTCCGTTGCCTACCCTCAGGCCAACGGGCAAGTTGAGAACGCCAACAGAACCATCTTGGAGGGGCTAAAGAAGAAGCTCGAGGAAGAAGGCGGAAGTTGGGCCGACGAGCTCCCCAACGTCATATGGTCCTACCGCACTACGCCGAGGAGGGCCATAGGGGAGACACCATTCTCCCTCTGTTACGGATTCGAAGCCAAGGCTCCCACTGAAGTCACCCTCCCCAGCCGACGGGTCACACAATATGACCCCGAAGCCAATGAAGAAGCCATGAAGATTGACTTGCACCTCATTGACGAAAGGCGGGAGATGGCTTACCTCAGAGCGGAGAACTACAGACGACAAGTCAAATCCTACTACGACGCCAAGGTCCGTTCTCGCGAATTCCAAGTGGGGGACTACGTCCTCCGCCGAAGGGAAGCAAGCAAACCAACGGAAGGAGGAAAGCTCGCCGTCAAATTTGAAGGGCCCTATATCATCAGCGCCGTCGTCAAAGCCGGCACCTATAGGCTAAAAAACCCTAATGGGTCAGATGTGCCACGATTGTGGAATGTACACCATTTGGTGAAATTTTACCAATAATTCGAGAAGTGGTGAAGCGGGCAACGTCCCCCACCCCTCGGCGTATTGGTTGAATAAAACACCCTCGGCCTAGCGCCTCTTATTGAATATTGAACAAAAATCATGTTCCCATCCATTCTTTCAAAGAGCTAAAAGACCGCATCGGCCTAAGCGGTGATAACACCCAAGACCGATGCGACCTAAAGCCGTTGCAATAAACGACGCACCTAAAGCCGTTACAATAAACAACGCACCCAAAGCCGTCGCAATAAACGACGCACCTAAAGCCGTCGCAATAAACGACGCACCCAAAGCCGTTGCAATAAACAACGCACCTAAGGCCGTTGCGATCCACAACGCGCCTACAAAGCCGTTGCATAGACAACGCACCCAAATATCGTATCGGCACAAGCGGTGAAACACCCAAATCGGCCGGCGTTATGCAGGATGAAGGACCTGTGTGCATGGTCCGACGTCTTCAAACAGAGAAGCATACCGCGTCGTCCGCGCGGAAACCGCAGGACGACAAGCCTGAATTAAGGCCGAGGTTACAAAAACTCCACCTGTCAGTAAAATTTCGCTCAGGACCACAAAGGGCGGCCGTCAAAAGACGATGCCTAGCCTGGTCCCTCGTCGACGATAGACGTGGAAAGGCCAAAAAAGATGTCACTGACACACCAAGCCGAGGGCGTATTTACTCCCTCGCACTAACCCACGCGAAAAGCGTAGCGGACAAACTACCGCACATGGACGAAGGGACAGTAACCCTTCGACTACAAAAAAAAAAAAAAAGAGGGAAGCCGATGGACCGTGCACTCGCCAGCCTCGAGCATAAAATAAAATCCCCACAAAAACCAAAGCCTCAAAATTGGCTAAGTAAATATCAGGATCATCATACAAGAACACAAAGTGTATGCTTCGGCCTCAGCCATGACATCATAAGATTGAATCGCTTCGGCTCAATCATACGAGACCATACTCGGATGATATGTCACATCGTCTACAAGTGGCAAGAACCAAGTGATAAAACGGAGCAAAACACCTACATCAAAACAAGCTTGACACTTGGACAAATTTCTAAGTCACATTACCGCAAAGATGTTGCGCTACCAATGGGCATCGCTTCGTCCTCAACGCTCCGAGCATAAGCCCCGAAATACTTGAGGCACTCAAGGAATGGACGCCGGCATCCTCCAAGGAACAATGGAGTGCATCGTCTCCGGTGACGACAAATGAAAAGAGGACCGCTACGTCTCAAGGAATGGACGCCGGCATCCTCCAAGATAAAACCTTGATACTTAGGAAAATTTACAAGAGCAAGCATACTTAACTACAAAGACGAGGAGATAATCACGATGAGGAAAAGATTTGTCATTAAAGGATGCAAAAGATACAAAAGGTGGGCGCTTCGGCCATTACATGCACTTCAGTGCTATAGCTACAAAAACTAAATACAAAGAAACACTAAGCTACCACATCAGCCGGCATTCCACCGCCAACAGCACCATCACCACGGCCGTCATCGGCATCATCATCACCACCATCATCCTCATCGGCCTGAGAATCGGCGGGCCCTTCGAGCAAGTAATCATCGCTATCGCTCCATGGGTCTTCCCCTTCATCCGAACTCAAGATTGGAAGCTGCCTCTCCGACGGGGGAAGCTTCATATCCTCATCAGGATTCTTCATTCGTCGAGGGAGACTCAGACCCCTCGGCCTCATCTTCCGGAAGCGACGACGAAGCTTCCTATAGACCAGCTTCTGCATCCTATACTGGCCGCAGTCGTAGAAAGCTTGCATCTCGTTCATCCAAAATTCTTCGCCGACGGGATCCTTTGTCGTCCAGTCGGTCAACCTCTCAGCGACCACCTCGTAACAAAAGGGGAGCTGATCATCGGCTTTCCACCCCCTCGGCCTTGAAGTCAGCTACGGCCTTCTCGGCAGCCTTGTCAGCATCAGCTTTGAGCCGCTCCGCCTCCTCGGCTCTCTTCAGGGCAACGTCAGCAGCCTCTGCGGCTTCCTTCCGAGCCGCCTCGGCCTCATCAAGCCGGAGCTGTAGGAGCCTCATCTCATCCTCCGCAGCCTTGGCCTTGTCCTTGAGATCTTGGAGGGCCTCATCGGCTGAAGCAGCCTTTGCCTCCACCTTCCTCAGGCGCTCTAGCTCAGCCTCCTGTGTCACGCCCCGGACCTTCCCGGACACGTCAACAACCCGCCGTACAGTACGAATAGTCAACCGCAGTCCAACTCATCCATACTATACAAGGCGTCTTGAATACCATTCACATTAGTACATCCATAAACAATCATAATGTAAATCATTTAATTAAGCAGCGGAAATATTAATACAAGCATTCGAGCCACACGTGGCAAACACGGGCGTGCAAGCCCTAAATAATTATTCGGAAAAAAGTATCCATGAGCATTAATTTGAATGTTTAAAACAGAAACGGAGGAAGCACGAACCACGTCTCCTCTCCTTGATAATCCGCCCGAAGCAACGGTGATGGTAGCAACCTTCAAGTTCTGCCTGAAACTGTGAGGTGGCCTCCCCCGTGAAGGGGAGGTCAGTACTTGGAAGCATTTGACAAGTACAATGACAACTATACTAAGTATAATCAAAGTTTCAATTTCCAAGACCCTCAATCTAGGATGTTATTATATTATAGGTCATAACCCGTGGTTACCCTCTTTTGAAAGTATACTTACTTTATATATAAAGTCAAGTAGTCGCCCGAAGGCCCATGTTTACTTTGAAAGCATTTAACCCTTTCCCCGTGACTTCAAGCCACACCCATCTATATTAGTTTACCATGCTAGAGGCTTCCTCTAGTCATGTTTTGTCGTGCTAGAGGCTGACTCTAGTCACTCCACTTGGTGTTAGAGGCTTCCTCTAATCACCTTACATACGTTGTGCTGGAGGCTTCCTCCAGTCACATTACGTTACGCTAGAGGCTTCCTCTAGTCGTCCTATACGAATGCTGGAGGCTTCCTCCAGTCATTCATCATCGTGCTCGAGGCTTCCTCTAGTCACGATACTAATTCACTAAGCAAACTCTATGCCTAGAGTTCCTCTACTATGAGTAACCTTTAAGGTCCACTCCTACGGTAATTTAGCGTTTACTCATTTCTACCTTAAGACATTTCGTATGACTACTTAAGGTACATCTTTCACAATCCAAACCCCTAGGATTTGTTCTATCACTTTTCATGCTAACATTCCCGGCTAGTATTTCTATACTAGTCATTTAACCTTAATAAGCCAATGCAATTTCATAGTAATTTGGCTATTTCGATTTAATTCCACATTCAAGTATAACTTGGTTCTAATATCAAAATATCACTTTTATCCTTCCATGACTTCCTTACATGAGGTAAAAGTATATTTATCACAATTCATTTATAGTTTACACACTATTATACCATTGTATTCATAATACATAATCATACACAATTTATTCATAAATTTGTATATTATGCACTTTTACTTATAAACAATAATAATCTCATTTAGGCATTTTTTTATATTATAAATAAATCATGCCAAACACATGTAATTCATTTAGGTAATCTTATGAAATTAACCCAATAATTATAAGCAATATAGTCGGTCATCCTCACCTTAAGTGAACTTAAGCGTGTTCTACGCTCCGCGGTTGAACTTTGACTATTTCCGGTGAACTTTGACCAACTCCGGCCAACTTTGACCAACTCCGGCGAAACTCCGGCGAAGCTCCAAAGTACTTTAATCAAGTTCCTAACAAGGTTTTAACATCATAAAACCTTAATCAATACAAATAACCTCTAAAAGGTTATTTTCCGGTGAACTTGTCGGTTTGGCTCCTAGGTCCGTTTTTGGACTTAGAACCCCCTTCCAACCCATCATTCTACACTTAACTCATGTGGAACAATCCTCAATGTTCTTCACATGATATATATCTCATATTGTAGAAGAAAAAATAAAGGAAAAGTTAATATAAGGTTATTACCTTAATCTTTCTCACTTTTCCTAGCCTTTTTCTTCTTTTAAACTTTCCCCTTGGACTTCTATTGCTTGAGCTCTCTTCAAGGATGGGAAAAGGGAGATGGAGATCTTCTTTTCTTGCTGGGGTTGGTTCTGGCCGAGAGGAATGAGGGAGAGAGGGGTGAGGGGATGGTCTTTTGTCTCAAAGGTCAAATGGGGTGGATGTGGTCCCCTTTTTTTGTTTGATGCTTCTTCTTTCACTTCACACACATCACCCATGCCTCTTCCACCATCCAGCCGGCCAAGTCATGAAAAAATATGGCTAATTTCGTGGGTTGGCCCCCACCCATGTGGGAGGTCAACCCCTTTTGTCCAGAAGTGTACACTTTGTCCCGAAAGTTGTATTTTTCGGACCATTTAAAATATATTTTATTTTATCGGGTCAAATAAAATATATTATGTGCTCTCCATCATTAATACTCTTATGATGAATATTCATACCCCAACTTTAATTTATAAGTCCCCGAAATTCAATTTCGGGCTTCTATCGGTTAAATTGCCAATACCGTTATTTAGGCCTCTTTGACCAATCGGTCAACTCCGGACCTTTCCATGGCTCAAATGAGTTATCCTCCACCATATAAATATTATCTAGACCGAGATGGATAGTTTATGTAGTCCCGGGAATATTGGGCGGCCCCCGCTCCCGGTGCGGGCCCCACGTGCGAATTTACTATTCACGCAAAATAATTAATAAAAATCCATAACATTGTAAACTCATTAACCATTCCACAAGGTTGCATACAATATTATTCACTTAAAAGTAAATACATTTGGGGACGGTGTTACAAGTTCACCCCCCCTTATTTGGGATTTCGTCCCTGAAATCCATGTGTCTAATCGAAAAGAAACGGGTATTGCTCCCTCATTGAGACCTCAGTCTCCCAGGTTTCTTCTTCGACTCGATCACTCCTCCAAAGAACCTTTACCATAGGAATCTCTTTGTTCCTCAATTTCTTCACCTGTTGACCCACAACCTTTACCGGTTCCACTGCATATTGTAGATCTTCACGTATCTCCACCGGTGGCTTCTCAAGAATATGAGATGGATCTCTCACGTATTTCTTGAGCATCGATACATGAAACACGTCGTGTATCTTCTCAAGTTCTGGCGTCAGCTTGAGACGGTAAGCCACCGCCCCAATCCTTTCAAGGATTTCAAACGGACCAATGTATCGGGGGTTGAGTTTTCCCCTCGATAAAAATCGGATGATACCCTTCCAAGGAGAAATTCTTAGGAAGACCTTATCACCGACCTCGAACTCTAATGGCCTGCGTCGTTTGTCGGCATAGCTCTTCTGCCGATCTTGGGCAGTCTTGAGTCTATCCTGAATGACTTTCACTTTAGTCTTGGTGATTTCAACAAGTTCAATCCCCTCGAGCTTGGCCTCGCCAACCTCGTCCCAACATAACGGTGTCCTGCACTTCCTCCCATACAATGCCTCGTATGGAGGCATGCCAATGCTCGCCTGATAACTATTGTTATAGGCGAACTCGACTAGGGCCAAATGTTTGTCCCAACTTCCTTGGAACTCCAGAGCACACGCCCTAAGCATGTCCTCCAATATCTGTATCACTCGCTCGGATTGTCCATCCGTCTGTGGATGAAAAGCCGTGCTAAACTTCAATTTAGTACCCAAAGATGCTTGAAACTTGGGCCAAAATCGAGATGTGAATCGTGGATCCCTATCCGAGACAATGGATATCGGGACTCCATGTAGTCTCACAATCTCCTCCGTGTATAGCTTCGCCAACCTTTCAAGAGGGTAAGTGATGTTAATAGGCAAAAAGTGAGCACTCTTGGTGAGCCTATCAACTACTACCCATACCGCATCATAGTTGTTCACAGTCCGTGGCAACCCCACCACGAAATCCATAGTCACATGCTCCCACTTCCATTCTGGAATGGAAAGTGGCTGTAATAACCCAGCTGGATGCTGATGCTCTGCCTTGACTTGCTGACAAGTAAGGCACCGACTGATGTACTCGGCTATCTCTCTCTTCATACCGGACCACCAGTAACTTTCTTTCAAATCGCGATACATCTTCGTGCCCCCCCGGGTGCATGGCATAAGCCGATGAATGAGCTTCCTCTAAGATGGACTTTCGGAGCTCATCATCTGCCGGCACACACACTCGGTCACGAAATAATAAAAGACCGTCGTCTCTTTCTCTGAAGTCCTCCACCGGTCCCGCTTGCAAGCGTTCCCTGATTTTCACAATTTCATCGTCAGTTTCCTGACCCTTCTTGATCTCATCAAGCAAAGTAGGTCTCACCTCAAACCGTGCCAATAAGGCACCATTACTGGACACCTCCAGTTGGGCTCTTAATGCCCTCAAATTAGTTATCAATGCCCCAGTTGAGCTCTTCCGGCTCAAAGCATCTGCCACTACATTTGCCTTGCCTGGATGGTACTCAATCACTAGGGGTCCTTTATCAACTCCATCCACCGTCTCTGCCTCATGTTTAACTCTTTCTGAGTAAACACGTACTTCAAGCTCTTATGGTCAGTGTATATGTGACATGTCTCTCCGTAGAGATAATGTCTCCAAATCTTCAGTGCGAACACCACTGCTCCCAACTCTAGATCATGGGTGGGGTAATTTACCTCATGCTTCTTCAACTGTCGTGAAGCATAGGCAATTACCCTCCCCTCCTGCATTAACACACATCCAAGCCCTTGGATGCTCGCGTCACTATAGACATCGTACCCCATACCCTGTTTGGGTAATGCAAGTACCGGTGCCTCGGTTAACCTCTTCTTCAGTTCAGTGAATCCTTTCTCACACTTGTCATCCCATACAAACTTAGCTCCTTTTCGAGTGAGCTTTGTCAACGGTGATGCCAAAACAGAGAACTTTTCCACGAACTTTCTATAGTATCCTGCCAATCCAAGGAAACTACGAATTTCCTTGACGTTCTTTGGCCTCTCCCATTCGGTGATGGCTTCTATCTTCTTGTCGTCGACAGCAATTCCCGATCCCGAAACCACGTGCCCGAGAAAGCCAATCTCCTTAAGCCAAAATTCACATTTAGAAAATTTGGCATAGAGTTGCTTCTCCCGTAGTGTCTCAAGAACGAGTATCAAGTGCTCCTCATGCTCTTCCTCACTCTTTGAGTAGATCAAGATGTCATCAATGAACACAATCACGAATCGGTCCAAGTATTTGTGAAATACTCGGTTCATCAAGTCCATGAATGCCGCCGGGGCGTTTGTTAACCCAAACGACATAACAAGGAACTCAAAATGCCCATACCTCGTGCGGAAAGCACTCTTCGGTATGTCATCCTCCTTAATCTTCAATTGATGGTACCCCGACCTCAAGTCAATCTTTGAAAACACGGTTGCTCCTCGTAGTTGATCAAACAAGTCATCAATCCTAGGCAAGGGATACCTATTCTTGATTGTGACCTTGTTCAGTTGACGATAGTCAATGCACATTCGAAGTGTTCCATCCTTCTTTTTCACAAAAAGGACCGGTGCTCCCCATGGGGAGTGGCTTGGTCTGATGAAACCGTTATCCAAAAGCTCTTGCAATTGGGTTTTTAACTCGTTAAGTTCAGCGGGTGCCATACGGTATGGCGGTATGGAGATTGGTTTGGTGCCGGGCTCGACCTCGATCACGAACTCAATCTCCCTATCGGGTGGAAGTCCCGGTAAGTCTTTAGGAAAGACGTCCGGATACTTGCATACTACCCTAACTTCATCAATGCTCGTCTCTTCTTTGGTTTTGTCCACCACATATGCTAGATATGCATGACACCCCTTCCTCATCATATTCTTAGCCCTCACAGTGGATATGATACAACTATTGGATTTTGCCCTATCCCCCTCGAAGCGTAAGGTTACCCCTTCATTGCCTTCGAGTTCAAGTACTTTCGTGTAACAATCGACCCTAGCATGATGCTTCTCAAGCCAATCCATACCCAGGATTGCATCGAACTCAATCATACTCAGCGGCACGAAATCACACGACAAGTTTTGGCCCTCCACTTCCACCTCACACGATGGATAGTGGCTATCTCTCTCGATGTCTTCCCCTAGGGGTGTGGATACCAATAGGGCTTGAGCCATCGGTATCAGGGGTACGTTGAATCCCCCGGCGAATGCCTCACTCACAAATGATCGTTGCGCCCCAGTATCGATGAGGATTCTCGCACATCTCCCATTAATCTTTAATGTTCCTACATTTATACACCATGTGAGATACATTTTCTAATGTTTTTACACATCTTAGGAGGTTATTAAGTAAATACTAAGGTTTGGAATCAATCGGGGGTCCAAACGTAAAAGAACGGAGCGGAAAAATTCGATTTTCGGGTTCTGGGGCCCACGCACGGCGTGCCTGGGTGGCACGCACGACCGTGCGTGCAACGAACTTACCCTGCGTGCCACTGCCGGCCAGGCACGATGCCAGGCACGGCGTGCCTACGGCCGTGCCTGGCCAAAAATACTTCGGACGCCACTGCCTTCCAGGCACGACGCCAGGCACGGCGTGCCTGCGGCCGTGCCTGGCCCAATTTTTTTTTTCTTCGGGTGCCACTGCCTTCCAGGCACGATGCCAGGCACGGCGTGCCTGCGGGCGTGCCTGGCCAGCAGTGGCTGTTTCCAGCCCGATTCGGCCTAACTCACCCGGTTTGACCCCGGGGTGGCCCGTACTCAATCCCAACGACGTATATGATCAAAGTAAGCCTAGAAATGACCAGCATAAGTGTATTACCTGCGACGGAGTCGGGATTAGCCCGAGCATCGGCCTCGGTCATTGCGTACACTCTCGCTTGAGCCCTTCCTTGGTTCACGGAGGGTGCGTTGCTTGTACTTGCCCCGCCGTGGTTCGTGCTTGCATTGGGTGCCCCACCCCGGTTTCTACTCACCATGGTTGCACTGCTTGGCCCTGATGACCGGTTCCCACCAAGTTGAGGGCAATTGGGCTTTATGTGCCCCGTATCTCCGCATTGGTAGCACCGTGGGGGATCACGACATTTGCCCTCGTGATTTCTCTTGCAATTCCTGCACTTAGGCTTTGTCGGGGCTTGTGATCCCGAGTTCTGCCCACTCATGTTGGGATTCCCCCTTGATGGTGGTGCGGGTGCCCTGAAGGATCCTCCTCCCCCGTGATTCCCCTTCTTGTTTGAACCCTGGGGGCCATGGTTCTCCCATTTTCTTTTCTTTGCCTCCTCGGCATTTCTTCGCTTCCTTTCCTCCCATTCCTTCTCCCCCTTCAAGCCTTGTTCGACCACTTGGCTAAACGTCATATTAGGCAATTGTGTTGCCCTCTCACGTATATCAAGGTCCAAGGCGTTCCAGAAGTGGTTCACCATCCGGTTCTCATCACAAATGTATTCCGGTATGAACTCAGCAAGTTTTCTGAACTTGTGCTCAAGCTCCTTCACTGTGCACTCACCTCCTTGGGTTAAGGTTGTGTACTCCCTCCTCTTTAAATTCACTTCAAAGTCGGAGTAGTATTGGCTAAAGAATTCTTGTCGGAAATTCTCCCAGGTGACGGCCTCGCCGTACTTCCCTTTAGCTCCGTCCCACCATGTGGACGCCATGCCTTCTAGTAGTCTTGTGGCCACTCTCAACTTCATGTTTGGTGGCAGCTGCATATCCAGGGCCGCTTCATTGAATCTCTTGATCCACTCGGCCGCCACGGAGATGTCTCCCGTTCCATCAAACGGTTTACACCCCAAGTCCCTCGCCTCCTTTAGGTACTTCGAGATTCTTATGATAGGAACCTCGGCACCTCGCCCTCCTTGGGGTTCTGTGCTTCCCCTAGGACTCACACGGCTCCCTCTCCTCGAAGCCCCCCTCGAAGCACGCCTTGCCCGGCGCCTTTGGCGATCTTGATGATATTGCCGGAGCAATTCCTCAATCCTTTCTAGAGCGTCGTTATCGTCGCTCCCCTCGCTAATGTCATCATCTTCCCCATCATATGGGGTTTCAACCGGCTCCGTTCCCGGTCGGTACGTTGAATCCTCCTCGGACTCATAATGCTCGTCAATTGTTTCAACATGACCGTCACTAACGGTCAGCGAGTGGCCTGCACGGCCCTGCTTCCGAGACACCCTTGATGCCCCTCGACTGCCATGTTGGGACCTTCCCGGCGCCTGGCCAGTCGGGTTTCGTCGGGTGACTTTACCGGTGCGTTCCATTTCTGAAAGAGATAGAGAAGGAGTCATTAGACCCGTATCAAATGTCAAGTGACGGATAGGCACTTAAAGACATCCTTTGGCTCAAATCACCGTCATACCAATTGTTAAGGGTACCATATTAACAATTAGAGACTTTGCAACTCAAGTACCAAAAGTTCTACAAGTGCAAAACTTTTATGCTCATGGTTTTCAAAATCATTTTCAAAAGGGGTTTTGAAGCTTCATTATGAAGTTTACGGACTAAGGCTCTGATACCAATTAAATTGTCACGCCCCGGACCTTCCCGGACACGTCAACAACCCGCCGTACAGTACGAATAGTCAACCGCAGTCCAACTCATCCATACTATACAAGGCGTCTTGAATACCATTCACATTAGTACATCCATAAACAATCATAATGTAAATCATTTAATTAAGCAGCGGAAATATTAATACAAGCATTCGAGCCACACGTGGCAAACACGGGCGTGCAAGCCCTAAATAATTATTCGGAAAAAAGTATCCATGAGCATTAATTTGAATGTTTAAAACAGAAACGGAGGAAGCACGAACCACGTCTCCTCTCCTTGATAATCCGCCCGAAGCAACGGTGATGGTAGCAACCTTCAAGTTCTGCCTGAAACTGTGAGGTGGCCTCCCCCGTGAAGGGGAGGTCAGTACTTGGAAGCATTTGACAAGTACAATGACAACTATACTAAGTATAATCAAAGTTTCAATTTCCAAGACCCTCAATCTAGGATGTTATTATATTATAGGTCATAACCCGTGGTTACCCTCTTTTGAAAGTATACTTACTTTATATATAAAGTCAAGTAGTCGCCCGAAGGCCCATGTTTACTTTGAAAGCATTTAACCCTTTCCCCGTGACTTCAAGCCACACCCATCTATATTAGTTTACCATGCTAGAGGCTTCCTCTAGTCATGTTTTGTCGTGCTAGAGGCTGACTCTAGTCACTCCACTTGGTGTTAGAGGCTTCCTCTAATCACCTTACATACGTTGTGCTGGAGGCTTCCTCCAGTCACATTACGTTACGCTAGAGGCTTCCTCTAGTCGTCCTATACGAATGCTGGAGGCTTCCTCCAGTCATTCTTCATCGTGCTCGAGGCTTCCTCTAGTCACGATACTAATTCACTAAGCAAACTCTATGCCTAGAGTTCCTCTACTATGAGTAACCTTTAAGGTCCACTCCTACGGTAATTTAGCGTTTACTCATTTCTACCTTAAGACATTTCGTATGACTACTTAAGGTACATCTTTCACAATCCAAACCCCTAGGATTTGTTCTATCACTTTTCATGCTAACATTCCCGGCTAGTATTTCTATACTAGTCATTTAACCTTAATAAGCCAATGCAATTTCATAGTAATTTGGCTATTTCGATTTAATTCCACATTCAAGTATAACTTGGTTCTAATATCAAAATATCACTTTTATCCTTCCATGACTTCCTTACATGAGGTAAAAGTATATTTATCACAATTCATTTATAGTTTACACACTATTATACCATTGTATTCATAATACATAATCATACACAATTTATTCATAAATTTGTATATTATGCACTTTTACTTATAAACAATAATAATCTCATTTAGGCATTTTTTTATATTATAAATAAATCATGCCAAACACATGTAATTCATTTAGGTAATCTTATGAAATTAACCCAATAATTATAAGCAATATAGTCGGTCATCCTCACCTTAAGTGAACTTAAGCGTGTTCTACGCTCCGCGGTTGAACTTTGACTATTTCCGGTGAACTTTGACCAACTCCGGCCAACTTTGACCAACTCCGGCGAAACTCCGGCGAAGCTCCAAAGTACTTTAATCAAGTTCCTAACAAGGTTTTAACATCATAAAACCTTAATCAATACAAATAACCTCTAAAAGGTTATTTTCCGGTGAACTTGTCGGTTTGGCTCCTAGGTCCGTTTTTGGACTTAGAACCCCCTTCCAACCCATCATTCTACACTTAACTCATGTGGAACAATCATCAATGTTCTTCACATGATATATATCTCATATTGTAGAAGAAAAAATAAAGGAATAGTTAATATAAGGTTATTACCTTAATCTTTCTCACTTTTCCTAGCCTTTTTCTTCTTTTAAACTTTCCCCTTGGACTTCTATTGCTTGAGCTCTCTTCAAGGATGGGAAAAGGGAGATGGAGATCTTCTTTTCTTGCTGGGGTTGGTTCTGGCCGAGAGGAATGAGGGAGAGAGGGGTGAGGGGATGGTCTTTTGTCTCAAAGGTCAAATGGGGTGGATGTGGTCCCCTTTTTTTGTTTGATGCTTCTTCTTTCACTTCACACACATCACCCATGCCTCTTCCACCATCCAGCCGGCCAAGTCATGAAAAAATATGGCTAATTTCGTGGGTTGGCCCCCACCCATGTGGGAGGTCAACCCCTTTTGTCCAGAAGTGTACACTTTGTCCCGAAAGTTGTATTTTTCGGACCATTTAAAATATATTTTATTTTATCGGGTCAAATAAAATATATTATGTGCTCTCCATCATTAATACTCTTATGATGAATATTCATACCCCAACTTTAATTTATAAGTCCCCGAAATTCAATTTCGGGCTTCTATCGGTTAAATTGCCAATACCGTTATCTAGGCCTCTTTGACCAATCGGTCAACTCCGGACCTTTCCATGGCTCAAATGAGTTATCCTCCACCATATAAATATTATCTAGACCGAGATGGATAGTTTATGTAGTCCCGGGAATATTGGGCGGCCCCCGCTCCCGGTGCGGGCCCCACGTGCGAATTTACTATTCACGCAAAATAATTAATAAAAATCCATAACATTGTAAACTCATTAACCATTCCACAAGGTTACATACAATATTATTCACTTAAAAGTAAATACATTTGGGGACGGTGTTACATCCTGCCTCCAATGTTGCTCCCTCAGCATAAGGGCACCCTGGACGAAACAGAGTTTAAAAATCAAAGGATAAAAATCGAGGCAAAAAGAAAAAAAAAAACAACAAGGGAAATATCTTACCTGGATAACATAGTCTATCCCTATGTCGTACAGCCGAACATGCTGGCCTTGTCGGCCGAGATATTGACGGTCATACTCAGACATAGCCTGAGCAAGCATATCATCACCACCAACGGTCTCGTTGAAAAGACCGCCTTTAGCAGGGTATCGTACGGTGACTTCATACAACCCCTTAGCAAGAGCCTCCTCTAAACGGGCAGCAGCGGCAGTGGAGGGAGCCACTCGAGGAGCTGAGGCCACAACGGCCGATGAAGGTGGATCATTCACAGGAGGGACCATCGTCGGCTGAACATCCACAACAGCCTGAGAGGAGGGAGCGCCGGCCTCGCCACTCGTTGGAGCCCTCTTCGTCCTCTTCGAAGCCTGGCTCGGTTTCAGCCCTGCTTCGGCCAGAGTCTTTTGGCCCTCATCAGCAGCCCTCCTGCTCTTCTTAGCCACGGGCTTCTTAACGGCCTCAGCACCCCCTTGAGAACCGCCCGCAGACTTCTTTGCTGCCTCAGCAGCTTGGGCGGCCTTGAGCTCCGCATCGGCCTTCTTGGCAGCTCGAGCCATAAAAGACATGCGGTCCATGGCAAAACCTGCACAAAACAAAGGAACATCAGTAAAGCAATAACTAACATACTACGAGAAGGGTAAGTAGACGAAGGACAACCTTCGGCTTCGGCAGGGACACCGAGTGAGGGACCGTCGGCTTGCTCATAAGACTGCTCCATCTTCGGCCAGAGGTCATCGTCCATATCACCGGGGCAGTAGTATCTCACGAAGCCGAGGGCGGCCATCCTATACTCAGTAATGTAGGTTGTTACGCTCCTCAGATCGCC